ATGAAAAAGGAAATATCACAACAGACACTACAGAAATACAGAAGATAATTAGAAATTATTTTTAAAACTTGTACTCCAGTAAAATAGTAAATATTGATGGCATTGGCAAATTTCTATAGTCATATAATTTGCCCAATTGAATCAGGATGATATACACAATTTAAACAGATCAATTTCAAGTGACGAAATAGCAGACACCATCAAAAGTGTACTAATCAAGAAAAGCCCAGGACAGGAAGGATACCCAGCCTAGTTCTACAAGACCTTTAAAGAACTAATACCAATACTCTTCAATTTATTTCAGAAAATAGAAAAAGGGGGAGCACTTCCAAACTCATTCTTTGAGGCCAATATCACCCTGATTCTAAAACCAGGCAAAGACACATCAAAGAAAGAAAACTTCAGACCAATATCGCTAATGAACATAGATGCAAAAATTCTCAATAAAATTCTGGAAAATCAAATACAAAAACATACCAAAAAGATAGTGTATCACAATCAAGTGGTGTTCATCCCATGGATGCAAGATTGCCTCAACATATGGGAATCAATAAATGTAATTCATCACGTCAATAGACTTAAAGATAAGAACCAAATGAGCATCTCAATAGATGGCAGAAAAAACATTTGACAACATACAGCACCCCTTCATGTTCAAAACACTAGGGATAACTGGAGCATATCTCAACATTGTAAAAGCTACCTATGCTAAGCCCCAGGCCAACAGCATACTAAATGAAGACAAATTGAAAGCATTCCCTCTAAAAACTGGAACAAGACAGGAATGCCCTCTTTCATCGATTCTATTTAACATAATTCTTGAAACACTGGCCAGAGCAATTAGACAGACAAAAGAAATTAAAGGGATATGGATCAGAAAAGAAGAACTCAAATTAGCATTATTTGCTGACAGTATGATTCTATACCTAAAAGACCCCCAAAAAATTCCACAAGAAAACTTCTAAAACTAGTAAATGAATTCAACAAAGTATTGGGATACAAAATCAACACTCATAAATCAAAGACATTTCTGTATACCAGTGACAAATCCTCTAAAAGTTAAATGAGAAAAACTACTCCATTTACAATAGCCTCAAAAAAATACTTGGGAATCAAGCTAACAACATAGGTGGAAGACCTTTACAATGAAAACTGTAGAATTCTAAAGAAAGAAATTAAAGAAGACCTTAGAAGATGGAAAAATCTCCCTTGTTCTTGGATAGGCAGAATTACTTTTGTCAAAATGACCATATTACCAAAAGCATTATATATGTTTAATGCAATTCCAATCAAAACCCCAATGACATTTCCCATAGAAATAGAAAAATCAGTCATGAAATTCATCTGGAAAAATAAGAGACCCAGAATACCCAAAGCAATCCTTAGCAGGAAGAGTGAAGCAGGTAGCATCACTATTCCAGACCTTAAACTATATAACAGAGCACTAGTAACAAAAACAATATGGTGTTGGCACCAAAACAGACTGGTAGACCAATGGTACAGAATAGAGGATACAGAGACAAACCTACATAATTATGGTTATCTTATATTAGACAACGGTACCAAAAACATACATTGGAGAAAAGATAGCCTCTTCAACAAATGGTACTGGGAAAACTGGAAAGCCATATTCAACAAAATGAAATTGTATGAGTGTGCCTTTCTCCCCACATCCTTGCCAACACTTATTGTTGTTTGTATTCTTAATAGCTGCCATTCTGACTGGAGTGAGATGAAATATTAGAGTAGTTTTGATTTGCAATTCTCTAATTGCTAGAGATGTTGAACATTTTTTCATATATTTATTGATTGATTGTATATTACCTTCTGAGAAGTGTCTATTCAGTTCCTTGGTCCATTATTGATTGGGTTATTTGTGTTTTTAGTGTTTAGATTTTTGAATTCTTTATATACCCTAGAGATTAGTGCTATATCTGATGTGCAAGTGGTAAAAATGTGCTCCTAAGCTTTGGGCTCTCTATTCACCTCACTGATTGTTTCTTTTGCTGAGAAGAAGCTTTTTAGTTTGAATCAATTTCATTTATTAATTCTTGATTTTAATTCTTGTACTACAGGAGTCTTATTAAGGAAGTAGAGACCTAATCTGACATGATGGAGATTTGGGCCTATTTTTTCTTCTATTAGATACAAGGTCTCTGGTTTAATTCCTAGGTCCTCGATCCACTCTGAGTTGAGTTTTGCACTCATACATTGCTGGTAGAACTGCAAAATGGTGCAGCCAATCTGGAAAGCAGTATGGAGATTCCTTGGAAAACTGGGAATAGAACCACCTTTTGACCCAGTTATCCCACTCCTCAGTCTATATCCAAAGGACTTAAAAACAGCATACTATAGAGACACAGCCACATCAATGTTTATAACAGCACAATTCACAATGACTAAACTGTGGAACCAACCTAGATGCCTTCAGTTGATGAATGGATTAAAAAATGTGATATATACATACATACATACATATACATACACACACAATAATATTACTCAGCAATAAAAGAGAATAAAATCATGGCATTTGCAGGTATATGGGTGAATTTGGAGAATATAATACTAAGTGAAGTTAGCCAATCCCAAAAAACCAAATGCCAAATGTTTTCTCTGATATAAGGAAGATGATTCATAATGAGATAGGGAGCAGGAACATGGGAAGAATAGATGAACTCTAAATTGGGGAGAGGGGTGGGAGGGGAAGGGAGGTTGGCATGGAGTAGAAAAGACGATGGAATGAGATGGATATCATTACCATAAGTACATATATGAAGACACAAATGGTGTGAATATACTTTGTATACAACTAGATATTTAAAAAATTGTACTCCATATGTGCAATATGAAGTATAATGCATTCTGCTGTCGAATTAGAATTTAAAAAATTTTTAAATGTGGATATTTAAATATTATTGGAGTTTTGCTACAAATTATCAATTTTGTACTCTTAAATAAACCATTTTATGTATTATAATGTATTTAATTCTTCACATCCAAGAAATCACTTAAATAAAAAGTATTTTAAGATGCAGCAGATACAAAGCATATTTGTTCTTCAAATGTAGATCAAAAACTATTTTAATGTAGTTCTTTATAGGTTTTGTCTTTAATGTTTTAATTTTTTTCAATTAAAAGAAGGTATTTTCCAGGATGAATAAGAAAATCCAAATACATACCACATATTAGGTGATTCACACTTCTTCCTAATACATTTTCTCTATATCACCATAGTAACAGCCAAGTGGGTCAGCTGTTTGGAGAACACCATTGATAGCAAGTCCTTTTCTATGCAGTCCAGTTAATGATTGTGAAGAAACTTGTGTGTATTGACTTATTTGCCATGTGATGCCCGGGGCTATGAATTTGCAGAATGAGCGTTCATTTATAGATAAATATTTTGGGGATGACGTGAGTCACTCTGCTACCTCAGTTCATTCTAAACTCAGTAACTTAACTTGTAACTAAATTAGTGTGTGTACCCAGGAACAGCTTGGAAAATTGGACTGTGCTCTATTCTGATAGGACAGATAAAGAAATTTTCAGAAAAATTTCTTTTCAAAAAATTCTCTTCCATCATCCCAGTTAAATTATGTCAAATAGGGGTAGATGTTTTAGTTGTTTATTAAGTAAACAGATTAATGTAATTAACAACCTGAGTTTCTTCTATCACAAATATAGATACAAATCTCTTGGCTCTCAAAGCTCTCAATCCTTATCCTTGTGAAGAGGCAAATGAAACTAGGTGAATGTACCTTCTCTGACAAATGCAGTCAAATTTATTATCTGTTCAATATGTAAACACAATAATGATTCTATTATTTACATTTCAATTAAAACAATTTATATCTTCTTTCTCTTAACCACATAATAAAATATTTATTTTATGTTAAAAAGCTTCTGCATAGCAAAGGAATAAACAGAGTGAAGAGACAACATATAGAATAAAAGAAAATCTTTGCTAGCTATTCATCTGAGAAGATTAATATTCAGAATATATAATGAACTTTAAAAACTAACATCAAAATGACAAAGTAACAGTAAAAAGAAAAAAAAGGCAAATGTTCATGATCTCATCCTCTTAGGACACGGAGGCAGTAAAATCTCAAACTCAAAGCCTACTTGGGCACCTAAATTAGACACTAACTCAAAATACAAAAGGGCAGGGGTATAGTTCATCGGTAGAGGGCTTTGCCTCCCGTGTGTACAGCCTTTGGTTCATTCCTCATTACCAGAAAAAACAATGAACACATAATCCGAACAGTTACTTCTCAAATGAAAGACAAATGGCTAAATAAATATGTTGAAAAAAACATTCAATATTCTCAGCCACTGTGGAAATGCACATCAAACCTACATTGAGATTCTACCTCACCCCAATCAGAATGGCTATCAGAAAAAAAAAAAAACTTCTAATATTGATATGGAGAAAAAAGAATCCTTATACACTGTTGATGGGAATGTGGGAATGTAAACTAGTATAACCACTATGGCAGCAGTACAAGGTTCCTAAAAAAAACTAAAAATAGAACTACTATATGACCTGGTTATGCCACTTCTGGGAATACATAAGAAAGACTTATATACCTATCTTCACCTATTTAAACAGTCAAGTTATAGAATTGGACTAGTTGTCTATAAACAGATGAATGGATAAAAATATGAGATATAGACAATGTAATATTATTCAGCCATGAAAATGAAATCATGTCATTTTTAGGAAAATAGAAGGAACTGTAGGTCATCATGTTCAGTAAAATCTGCTAGAAACAAAATCAAGTACAGCCTATTTTGTTTCATAATTGGAAACTTAAAAAAAAAGTGGGGGACTATTAGAGAAGGTTGAGGGAAAGAGAGGTTAATAGGGAAAGAAGATAAAATTAAAGCACAACATATGCATATATTGAAATGTCACAGTGAAGCCCATTGATTTGCATAATTAATGAGTTAACATTTATGATAAAAATAGGTACACTTAAAAAATAAATTATCTTTACCTGAAGTTTGTTGAATCATATATTCTGCATGCCCCTGGCTTACCACATTTCAAAGTTCCCCAATGTAAACAGGTAGAGTCCACTAAAGCTCCAAAATATATTGGTGCTGGAATGCCAGCTATAATTATCAGAAAAAGAAAACTTCATCAACAAGTTAAGAATTAAGAGACATTATTTTTTGGCAAATATTTCAATTTCCCCTACACGAATAACAAATACTGTGTAAAAATATAAATCAAATGCTCTAAATTTTACTTTAGAAATGTTCTATTACTGTATAAGTAATAGATATATAATATAGTTTCTAGATTATAAAAATAAGTCATGATAAATAAAATACAACAAAATTATTGATAGAATAAAACAGTGAATAAAAGTAAATTATATTTTCTGAAATGTTTTGGAAAAAATCATGTGTACATTTCATTTTAACAAAATATTTCCTATTTATTCTCAAGTATTATTGAAGAGAGGTGTAATTAAGTTTTGATAGCAGAAATGAAAGGGAGAAATTCTCTATCTTCCTACATAATTAATTCTCAATACTAATTAAGCATTGCTTATAAACAGAAGGCATATTCTTAAACTGTTATTCTGAGAGAATTATTTCATTTATAGTTTATTAGTATGTATCATACTAGGAAAAATAACATCCTACCAAATATTCTTGTGCAAAATGCATGTAATCCCACACCAAGAGACTTCTCTTCAGACTTGATACACCTAATAAAAAAAATTCATAATAAGCAAAAGTAAAGATTTTAAACCTATCAGAGTTTCTGAAAAAGATTATGCATGCTATTAACAAACACTGAATATTTGAAAAATGTACTTCCATGATCAGGCCTTGGTTACTTAGGGTCTGATTATTCTGCTTCTTCCCAAATAGGAGTCCAATTTCTGATCCCTGGGATTTTACCCATCACTTTTTGCTCAGTCAGGTGTGTGCAGGGACACTAGAAATGAATCCAGAGGTGCTCTATCAGTGAGCTACATTCCTGGTCCTTTTTTATTGAGACAGGTTCTTACCATGTTGCCCAGGCTATATTTGAACTTAAAATCCTCCTGCTTCAAAAGCTTCTGAGTAGCTTGGATTGCAAGTCTGTGCCATCATACCTAACTTTCTTATTCTCTCTTAGAAGAATATATTTCATTTCAATCCATTTTTATCCCAGTATCTTTATATTGAAAGTAGTAGTTCTTGATCTGAAAGGTTAAACCTTTAGCCGAAAGCAAAAACAGCGCATATCTAGCTTTTTCAAATTATCTGCATTAATAAGATGTAGGAAATTTCAGATAAAGGAAATATAACTTATGTGAGTAAGTATAAGAAAAAAGAAAAGCAATAATAAAAACTTTCCAAAGGAAGTGATTTTAAAAATTCCAAAGCAAAACTATTTTAAGTGATTTGACATAATTTCAAGAGTTGAACAGAGATTTCTCCATTTTCTGAAAAAATTTTCCTTGCTTTTCATTGTTGTCTGGAATTCCCATATGTGGAAATTTACACGCCAGACAACATTGGAGTGTAAATGAAAACTATACTGCAAAGGTATTTTTGATGTCTCATCCACTTCTGCATCAGCATGTCTATATGCTCAAAAAGTTCACTTTAAGAACTTCCCTGTGCTCCCTTTCCTTTTCTGATTAACTGAAAGTTGAAAAATATTAATGCCGCTTTCTTCACAGAGTATATTTTTAACAAAAACTACATTTCATTGGTATTTTCTTGATATAGATATTATATTAGATAGAATAATTCTACAATCTTAAAAAGTGAGATGTCATTGATCAAAAGACCATCTATCCGATGGAGAAGTTATTTAGACAACATCAATAATTTTATTTAGAAATTTTATTCAGAGAGAATAAAATCCAGCAGACTTAGAATGATCCTCTTGGTCACCTAATTTATTTTTAATAAATACAAAAATTAAATAAAACATTTAAATTTTATTGAGGAAGTTTTCTTTCTTTTCTGTTTTTAAAATATGCCCTGTGATCTCACAAAAACATAGAATTCTAAGAATTCATAAATTATAAGCAGTTTAAACTGTTCTCCAAATTTTATTATTCCCTGACTTTGATAAGAATATCAATTTCTAGAGTCTAGCAATAACAAAAAAATTATAATGTAAGTTATGGAAAAACTGCTGATAGAAATTTTAATTTTTATTTTAAAATGACAAACTAAAGTAGATGATGCATCCCTTCACCATCACTTTAGAGGATTCCATAATAATAGGTAACAGATATAAATATGTCTATTAAAAAATCCAGGTGTCAAATTCCATAATATGATCTTGGCAAAAGATGGCAGAAGAATAGAAACAAATAAATCATGAACACATAATAAAGTACTTGTTTTACTAGAGAGTAGATATTAATAACTAAAAGTTTTAAAATTAATATGCAAAGAATAAATGTTGTTAAGAATCTCAATATTCCAGTCAACTGTTTGAAAAGTATAACTTTCAGGGCTCTGTAGTAGAGCATGTGATTAGCATGTATGAACCCTGGGTTCAATTCCCTGTACACACACACACACACACACACACACACAAATACACACAATATAACTTTCAAAACAGCAGAAAGAAATCCAATCTGTACAAAGGAAAAGAAAAAAAAGTGCAAACAGAGTTCTACCACAATAATTATAATTATAATAAATATAAATGTGTTAAATTCACCAATATCAGGTTAGAAAATCAAATATAGCAAGTTGTTTAAGAAGTGAAATGTAAGATTGAAAATAAAGAGAAGGAAAAACACCTAATGGGCATGTCATGAACCATAGGAAACCCAGAACTATAATTTTAAGAAGAAACAAAATAGAATTCCCTAAAAGAAAAGACTAAATGATAAAGAATAAACTTTATTACTGGTAATAATAAAAGTATAATGATCAAAGTAAACAAATGATTCAAGCATTAAATTCAAATCATTGACTAAAGAACAACCAAAGGAGTTCAAAGGGGTTGGAGAATAATAAAAAGCAGAAATCCATGAAACATCAACTAAATCATAAACTGATTATTTAAAAAAGAAAGTTAGATGAGCCTCTGGCAATATTGTTGAAGAAACTAGACTTAAATGCAAATAAGTAAAATACAGCAAAAAAAGGAAATTTCTTTTAGACATCAGAGAGTATGAAAATAATAAAAGAATATTATAAACACATACTAATAAACATACAACATGTGTAAGCAGAAATAAAATATGTGATAGAAAATAAAAAGTAAATAAAGAGAAGAAAATTCCACCAGAAAAATTAGTTCAAAGTACAAATATTTTAACAGGTGAGTTTATAAAATTTTCAACAATCAGACAATTTTAAAACAAAGAATTTTAATATCCTTTATCACAAGACTTCTCAGAGATTTTTTTAAAGTAGTGCATTATATTTTTACATAATAGTATAATTTTTTTACATATTTGTACATGCAGACAAACTGGGGGATGAAAGCAATAATCAGATATTTAACAAAAGTAAACCTAGAATTGAAAAACTAGAAAATTTACCAGTTCTTTTTGTGGGCCAATGATCTGAGAAAGGAAAAGAATGAAAAATAATAAATCTATTTTGCTTATAAACATAGATGTGACAATTGTTTGAAAGGGTGCACTGATCCCTTCAAGTAGATCAGTGTATAGAATGGATGGAATAAGTCCCTGTTCCTTCTTCCTGTTCCAAAAATCCATTTAACCTGTTTTCCTCAAATAGAGAATGTATCAGAAATTAAACTGATAAGAACAGGTTGTATATTTGACTTTAGTAAAAATGCCAAGAAGCAATAGCTATAACAATTTTAAGAAAAATTCAAACAAAAAATATTCAAAAAAATTAAATCATATTTTTAACTATATTGTGATTAAATGGTGCTTTTATCAGATAAGCAAATAAAGCTCAACATTTTTCACTTAATCTCACTAAGCAAAAGTTCTGAATTGAAAAGTCACGTATTTTATTTTCAGAGATTAAGAAAAATTTATTTGATAAAGTTTACCACCTATTTTATTATCAAAACTAGATGAAGACTACATATTAAAAGTATACAGCAAGTATTATACTCAATGAAGAAATTTGATAAGGTTTGGAAAATAAGAGTACTGACTAAAGAATACTCATTTAACTATGCTGAGAGCCATAGCCAAGTAGGAATGACGCATGGCATTTTTGGGTTGAAAGGTGACCCTGCTCAGGGATTAGGGTGGCTCCGGGTTTAGGGTGGATCCTGCTGGAATAGGGCAGATCCAGGTTTAGGGCGGATCCTGCTGGAATAGGGCAGCTCCAGGTTTAGGGCGGATCCTGCTGGGATTAGGGCATATCCTGCTGCCTCAGGCGCCCACTCCTTGAGTTCCCATTGAGTTCTAGCGGGGTTCTGAGAGAATTGATACGCAGAGCGCAGAGCCCGGTGGAGGGAGTGTATTTTTCCCAGAACGTGCGTGTAGAGTGTTGGTGAGAGTTCGGGAATAAAGAGTTGCTGTTGGAATCTACAAGTTTTTGTGGTGGCTCGGTTATTTTGTGCCCAGACAGACTGCGGCATAACTATAGTTCAGTATAGTTTGGGGGTTGCTTGTTGATGCCATAAGAAAATTTTAAGTCTGAGGTGAGTAAAATCTGAAAGTGAAAAGATAAAACTTCGTACTTAAACATGGAAAATTTACATAGAAATCCTAGCAAAACTCTCAGATGTGGGACCCATTCAGTGTCGATTAGCTCCTGTGTATCAGAGGTGGAGGCCGAGGACAAAACTACAATGGAAGCTAGACCAGTAATGGTCCAAAATGAAAGACTCAGGAGGAGTGACTAAAGGGACTGATCCAATTCTGCTCACTGCTCCAGAGAGATATTTAGAATCACCATGAGACCATTTATCTCAGCAGAGCTGATGGAGCTGGGGTCTAAGTTTGGGTAGAAAATGAAAGGAAGTATACTGGCATGGCTACTCCACCTGTGGGACACTGCGGCAGTTGGGATAATGTTGAATGTTACAGAATCATCTAAGATGGCTTCAGTAACTGCTCACCCTACTTTACAACAGTGCCTTCACTCCAGTGCAGCTAGGGGAAAGTAGCTTTGGCTGCTTCTCACCGCTTACAATATGTGACCAAATTCAGGAGATATTCCTGTGCCCAGAGACAACCTCTATAGAAGAATTACAGGTCTATTTTCAGGAACTGGGGATGAAATATGCTATTTACATGCATAATTTCTACTGCCAAAACGAGGGATATAGTGCTGTTTAGAACTCAGTCCATCCATCCAATTAGGGTGCCCTGGTGTTAATATTGTCCACATTGGCAGGGCAGCACCTCCAGTGAGAAGTGCAAATTACAGCAGATATGGAAATAATACAGCAGAAAACAGGAGTCTAAAACCCAGCGCAAACTGAAAAGGCATTTTCAAGTCTCCCATAAACAGATATATGTGGATTTATTTGTAGCAGGAGTAGATGAAAGTAAAATAGATAAATAACCTAATGCTACTCTGGTACAATCATGAAAGCAATCACCTAAGGACAAAGCAATCTGACTTAATCTCTTACTCCCCAAGAAGGGAAAAGAAAGAGATACAGTGAGAAATGTAGAATGGACTCCTACTCAAAAAGGAGGTAAATACAAACTTCTCTTATTAGGAGACATAATAAAAGCAAAGCCCATGGTTTCCCCTGAGTTTTTCAGCCCTTGGTTGTGGAATGACTAGAGGGGAGGTTGAG